GAATAAGAGCTGAGAGTTCTCAGTCCTTGAAGAAGACATTCGTTGCTTTAAGGGGTTGAATTTTTGCATAACCTTGTGAACCTGAAAGTTATAAAGGTAAGTTAGGATCCTTTGAACATACATTACTTCTACATGCCTAGGTTTTAACTGACCATCCTTTTCAGGAAGAAAAGTGAAATGTGATCATATGGGAAAGCACTGCTAATGCACCTACTCAGGAAAATTTAGAAGTCATATCTGTCAGTTCCTAGGAAAATGTTCCCAAACCAGAATAATTGCACAGAAAGTTCTCATGATTCACTCTTATAAAAGCTTAGGTAGAAAAAAAGAAAACCTCTCAGGGAAAAAAGTAAAGTGGATCTCATCTCAAATATAGAAAACCTTTTTTTTTTATATCTGCCTTTTAGCAATTTATCCTGAATAAAAAAAAAACAAACCAAAACCAAACTTGTTATCCTCCCACTGCTACTAATTGAGAGTTGCTCTAGGAATGTCAACAACCTCTGTTAAGAGAATGAGGATCTGGTTTATGACTTGACAAATGTCTTGTATGTTCCACTTTGTCATCAAAAGAAGATAGAACTAAGACTGGCTTTTCCTTATACTGGCTTTCCTTATCAAAACTCACACATTGCACACCAAAATTTCCTCAACCCTTGTAGTTGTATGGTTTCCTTTAGACTATAAGATGACATCTGTATTAGTGAGCTTCTTGTCTGTGTTTTGTTTTGGGTTTTTTTTTGTTTGGTTGGTTTGTTTTGGTTTTTTTGTTTTGAAACTTTTTTATAAATTGGCTAGTAGCTTAAAAAGGTGACAAATAGTTTGTGCCTGATTAACTGAAGAGCTTCAATTGCAATAAAAATTATTGAGTGCCAGATCAGTTAACTGCATTGTGACACTTTCAAAGCGTTTGAGATTAGACTGACCAAAAAAAAATAAGATCAGTAGGTAAAATCAAAATAAATATTAGCAATAAAAAATAAATTCTAATTACCAGATTCCCCAGTGTTGTCTCTCAGGATTGTTGTCTCGCATTTTCACCGTAGAGCTTTGAAAAGAGGTACCTGAATCTACTCTGTTTTCTGCATCAGGAGCTGTAGGATTTCTGTGTAGAAAAGTGAATATGACCTAGATTTCTTAATATGTAATTTGCTAGTGACTAGAGAATCTAACCATGAACATCTAGCTGTTTAATACCTGATTTTCCTGTAGTCACTTAAAAATAAGGTATTCTGGGTTGGCCTAAATTAAAAAACAAATTAAAAAAAATAGCATCTAATTTTGTCATATGAACACTAGTTTTTCTAGACTCCTTCTGTGTTCATTAAACAATGGAATGCTTCTCTGAGGGTTATTCAGACCCCGGCAGAAACTATCTCTCATCATGGGTTATTGAAGAAATTTAGGGACATCAGCATTCCACAACTGAAACATTTGCAAATATATTTTAAAACACATACGGAAAAATATATGTCAATTTAATCTGTTCAGCAGCAAAATCAGAAATCAGTGGAAAATTTGACCTGAATTACTAACTTATATATGTGTACGATATTATGTTCTATTGTTCTGACAGTAAACCAACACCAGAATACTGTTGGGCCTACTTAGATCAGTGTTTTGGTTAAATACGAACTACAAAGCAAGTGCATTATAATGCTTTTTTTTCACAATGAAGCTGGTCCTAGTGGGATCTCAAAGATAAGAGCTTGCATCTGGATTTTAGAATTAAAGAGGAGCTCTGCTTCAACTGATAGTTGGCATGCTGCAATTATCATGTTATTTTCAATCTTCAGGGTTAACTAAATGCTTATTGAAAGACTGCATGCACTGGGAACAGAAAAGTGACAAGAGAAGTGTAAGGACAAGATTTCAGTAGAAAAAGAATATCCTTATCATTAGTATATTATCTTTGGTATCCTTTAGTAAAAAAACCATATTGTCCTCAAATTGTGTTTTCTTTAGACTTTTCTATTTGATACTCTGTATCCTTACCATAGCACTCTAGAAAAGACTTCATGAATTATAGCTGATAAACCTTGGCTTTTTATAAGCTTGTCAAAGAACTGTTGGAAGTTTTGTTGTTGTAGAGTAGGAAGAAAGAGTTTGTGCATATGTGGCCAACCTGAAAATATAATAGAGGAATTGTACAGTTTTTAAAATGAGTAATATATTCCTATGGCAGATTGCATTTAGTAAATGAAAAATAATAGAAAAATAAAAAAGAAATGTTCTGGGTTTTTGAATAATTACTTATTTTTCAGACAGGCTCATGAGTGATTTTTACCTCACTCAAATGGAAGACTAAGAATTTACCAGATTCATAGCAACTTGTGATAAACTCGGCCTCAGTATTTCAGATGTACTGTGTTCCAAACATCCCATTAATATTGCTTTGGTTACAGATGGTTGCATAGACATCTTCGTGCCTCCACAAGAATACATCACCAGAAAAATAAACCTTCCTGTGCATGCATCTGTATGACTCATCTGAGTAAACCTTAAAAAAACTAGAGAAAAATGATGGCTGAATGTTATCAACACAAAATTTGTGACTTTAACATAATTTCTATTTTCTGTAACTTTGAAAACTGTGCTCATATTTAATATGAGAAAATCGGCTTTAACTGAAAATTATACAAAATGAAAAATCAATCTCCTTACTTCCACAAGACATTTTTCAGGTTCCAGGAAATTTCAAGAAGCCAAAGATTATGATGTTTTGATATAGTCTAGCCTTTAAACTTTTAGAAGCTCCTTTAATGCTTGAACTTCTAGAACTTTCGTTTTTTAAGTTTTCTCTGTAACACAGGTTATCTACATCTTCCCTTCTGTAGGGAAAATTAAATTCTTATGTACAATAGGGAGAGTTTTTTATAATGTTTTTCTGAACAAGATAATTGACTGAGTGTACTCACTTGCCTGTAAAATTACCTGAGTTAAATGACTTAAATCTTTGCTGGAGAGCATTGTTCTGAGAAAAGTGAAAAGCAGAGCATGTTGGTGCTTCTGTTGCTCTGAACAGAAATGAAGAACTATCCACCTATCTTGGGGAGCGATGAGAAGACATCGTGTTTTTAACAAGTGGAAGCCAGGGAGTCAAGTGAGAACACCTTGGTTATTAATTTTTACAGTAAATGAGAACAGACAAATTTGCCCAAATCTTTGGGCAAACAAGGCAAACAACTTTGCTAAGGGAGTCCAGGTTAAGATATGGCTTGGTCCTGTAAACAGCAGGACTTTGTAGAGTGTATTTCATAATAACATTGCTGTTTTTTTGGTTTTTTTTTTAAATAAGGTTTCATGATTCAGCATAATTGTTTTTGATTACATTATTTCTTCAGAAACTAGGAGTTTTAGAACAGTTGTTTCTATGGACTCAGGAGAATTCAGACAAAAATCACAGTTACTGAAGGTATAGTATCCTACGGGAAGAAACCAAGGGGGCTTGCTTTGACACCGAAGTTGTGTTGGGAAGTGTTTCAAAGGGTTGGAAATGTGTCTTCAACCTGACTACACAGAAAAGAGAGCTTGTGTTCTGAGTGCAACAGAGGAGCAAATGACTTTCAGCAGCAGAGTTTTTACTGAACTGAGGATCAAGTCTCCAAATTCTGCATTTTAGTTGTGGTTTCAGTATGTCATTTTTGATTGTTATAAAAATGTGATCTTGGTCATGATAGAGAGAGCAAGTTAATCTCATTTTATTAAACTTAGCAACAGCAATATCTTCTAGCATGGTATCAGACCATCTCTATTTAGGATTATGGTTTTTTTGACATGGATTCTGAGTGATCAGGAAGGCATTAGGCTTGTGTATTTGTGACAACTTTAGAAACTCACTATGTTTTTATACAGAAAAGAAAATCTAAAAAAGGAACAAATTTATTTGAACAGCAGCAGCGGGAAAACAACAAAATCATGGTATGTTATCTACAGATTAATAAAGCAGTAGAGAAAGCAAGAACAGACCAAAACATCTGCGATTGCTATTGTTCATCGCAGTTCATTAAGAAGGGTCTCAGACAGTTTGAACATGCAGTTTCATAGAGCAGATATTTTTATTTTTAATCATAGGTTTTTAATGCAGACTTACAGTACATTAAAACAACAAAAGAGCCTAAAGAGGCAATGCTATCTTATACCTGCAAAACCACCTATGCATAGTTAGTCTTTACATTCTTCCTCTTGAAAAAGAAATTTCTTCTTTCCTTCACTCTTCCTTTTTTATTCAGCACTAACGTTTGTAAATACTTACATACATTTATCCATATGACTGCAATGAACTTCTCAAATGTTGAAAAGTAAAAATTTTCAGTGAATGGACTGTCTTTAGTATTTCTTATTCAGAAAGGTAACATGGAGTCCCTTCTTGTTTCCCACCTACACAAATACTGAATGAGAACAAAAACAAATTCAAGTAATAACAGCCATTTTGTCTAGCATGTAAAAAAATGGTAAGTCCTAATTCACTTTATAATAGTGAGTACTATGACTCATGATGGTATTGTGAATTCGGATACTCTCAAATCAGACATAAACATTAGTCTGTTAAAAGCAAATAAATAGGTTGGGGTGTTTTTTTAGAAATAAAATATACATAATGCATAATGGAAAAGCCTTTCTTGCTGTAATCAAGCTGTTGCATTTTTCTTGTGGCACTGGTTGATAAAATCTTAGTTTCAAGTATGGTAAGAAAAACAATAAATATTTTCATCCTGTAATATTCTGCTAAAATGAATTCCTTTAATTATGCAGTTACAATTTACTTATTTTGACAGACTATTTACTCATTTTGAAGTTAAGAAAGAGTTGAATGTTTTAACCTTCTTCTTCATTAGTAATTATATCCTCTCATCTAGGAATAGATCTTATTTTCTATACATCTTATTGTTCTATTTTAAGTCCTAAGACTGTTTTATTTCTCACTCTTTAGATCTTATCCTGTTAGTATTAAATTTTAGTATTAACCCCACGTTGAGTTTTTGTTTTACCTGTGTGACCTCTCCCAGCTCAGAGTGACTTTAATGGGTGCCTAGAATCTGGCCAAGGTCAACCCAAACCAATTTTTTGAGACATTTTTTAATTCTAGTTCAGATTGTTCTTGTCATAAACATTTCTTGATCATTCTCATCTTATTCTCCAGTGATTAACAAAGCAGAACCTGTTGGCAGAAACAAAGGAGAATGAATTTAATAGTCTTCTTGAAATAAAAGAAAACATTCCTCTGCTTTCTTGGAATATTGTCGACTGGCTTTAGCTCCTGTGAATCAATCTTATGCATTCAACAAAAGCAACTAAAGTTCCTCATATAACAAATAAAAATTCTATGATTTCACACTCTGAAAAATCTACACCATTACAAAACCTGGAAACCTAGTTTTCTCCACAGATATGAAAGATGCTCTTTCTCCATATCATCCACTCACAAATGAGTGTTGTTGTGTCCATTAGCTTTGAATGCATTCATGGATAAATAAGGACTTTGAACTAATCTGACACAAAGCTGGCTTGGTAGGGTTTTGAGATTTAATTGAACTTTGTTTTAATTTAAAATTTGTTTGTTTTGTTTACTTTCTGATGGCATTAGCAAACATATTAAAAAGGAGATACAAATAAAATTTGTGCCAATTACATATGAGAATAATTGGATTTTATTAATCCAAGAATTCATGCAATCAATTTATTTATTGGTACTCTTAGTTCAGATACCTCATTATTCCTCACACTAATTAATCACAACCACTAATGAGTAGTTTTGAAATGAGACTGTTTACTACTCATTTTCCCCAAACGGAAGGTTCCTTAAGCAACCATTGATATTTACTTTAGGGAAACAAACAAGTTTTCTAAATTAATTAATTAATACATTTTCAAAAAAATACGTGTGTAAGATAACAGCAGCTTTCTTCGTTCAAAATGAGAAATTTAAAGATTATTATTCCAGTACTGTCTGAGATTGAGCAAATGACTTATATTTACTTTTTTCAATGTGTTTTTACTTGGCAAGGATAAATGCATAGCAAAATGGAAGATTAACAAACACTGTAAACAAACATAGGGTTATGCAGAGGTCTTTACTGAATAACCATAATAGCTTTTGAAGTCTATCTTCCTCATGTCTCTATACATTTGATCTGGAAGCACAACCCATTTTTTATGGTGTCATGTAGAGAAAACACGTTAAATGTTAAAGTTAGCAAGTAGGGTATTACAGAGAATATGCCCCTCAGAGAGATGTAAGAGAAAACCCACTTGAAAAAAAGACACTATTTCTGATGCAATAATAGATTTGCTAATTCAAAAAGTGAATATGGGAAACAGATTTGGATTTTAGCTGATGAGACCAAAGGAAAGGGAATAAAGTCAGGCTGATTAGAAAAAATAATTTCTGATGAACAAAATGGGACAATATTGGGGAGGTTGAAGAATAAGTAACAAAGAAAATGATGTTAAAAAAAAAAAAAAAACCAAAACATCCCAAAACAACAAACAAACCAAACCAAAACAAAATTGGAAAATAGAAAATAACAAAGACAAGGAACAAAATTTTAGTTGTAAGGCTGAAAGATTAAAAGCAACTCCCAAAGAACCTGAGGAAAAAAACTTTCTGTAAGAGCATATTTCAGGAAAGGTAAAAATGCCAGAAAGCTGAGCAGAGAAGAAAAAAAAAAAGTCTGTGAAACAACAGTGTGAACAGCAAGGTCAGCAAAGGAGTGGGGAGGGGGAGGAGGTGCTCGAGGCAGAGTAGAGATTCTCTTGCAGCCTGTGAAAGAGCCCCCTGTGGAGTGGAGATGGTATTTTCCTGCAGACAGGTCCTCACTGAGCAGATATCCACACCGCAGCCCAGGAAGGACATCGTGCTGGAGCAGTAGGGTATTTCCTGAAGGAATTGTGACCAGTGGAAAGCCCATGCTGGAGCAAGGGAAAAGTGTGGACAGGAAGGAGCTCAAGAAAGGCACTGCTCAGGGAAGTTGTGGAGGGAGTTAGAAGAATCAGGAGCGAAGCAGTGACACTGAGCCTGGGAAAGGGGAAGGTGATGGTTTGATTTTGTCTTTGTCATTATCCAAATCCATTTTAACTGTCAGTAGATGAAATTAATTTTCCCCAAGATGAGTCTGTTTTGTCTGCAACAGGAATTGGTAAATGATCTCCCTCTCTTTATCTTAACCCACATGCTCTTTCATCTTATTTTCTCTCTGTGTTCTGTTGTGGAGGAAGAGTGAGGGAGGGGCTGGATAGACTGGGTTGACCTTGGCATCTGACCAAGGTCAACCCAGCGCACAGTAACCAACGAAAAGAGCAAAGTATATTGATATTTTTATTTCTGGACTGGACTCATTCTATTTTTTTTTCCGTCTGTGGATAACTCAGTTAAAAAAAAGTTTGATAATGTTAGTTTCTCTTTTATAAATACCATAATTTTTCATTTTAAATTGCCTAAGTCTGATGGTTTCCACTTTCATTAAAAAGTAAAAATATTAATTAAAAATTCTTAGTTGAAATTACTTTTGCTTAGTAAGATGCAATTTAAGGCCAAAAAGTAATTTACAAACAGCAGAAATTACAAAAGCTTTTTTTCCTCAGTATTTATGTCTTATGGTAGAAATTATGATATCTGGTAAGCTGCCAATATCAGTAATAGGATATATTACAATTAGGGTGTTTTAATGCCTTTCTCTTTGGATTCTTTGATGTCTAATAACCACTGAATTAATTCCCTGTTTTCCCAGTAGAAGTGGCACTACTACAAGGATCATTTCTATCCAGCAGTGACTTTTAAAAAAAATGTGTAGGAGCTTTGAAAAGCTATGTATATTTGACAAACATCTTTCAAATCAACAGCAGACAGAAGCTATGGTTTCTTTGCTCAAAAAGAAGACATTTGGTGAGGAAAAATAGTGAATGAACCAGCTGCCTGAAAACATATTTTATAAAAAAGACTTCGTCACAGGTAAAATTAGCACCCTTCCTAGTATAACTACAACACATCTGTTGACCAATGTTAATGGAAAACAATATTCTAAGGGAAAGGACTTCCTTTAAAGTGTTTATGAAACTTCCATCATTTTCACACTATTCTTGCTGCCCTGCAAAATAAATTAAGGAAAAAATATCCATATAGAAAAACATATTAGGCTATACTAGAGCTACACTTCAAAACATAAAGAAAAAAATATACAAAAGTTTTCCAATTAAAACCAACCATTTTGAAAGTCTCTAAGTCAGACCTAAAAGGACAGATCTGCATCCAATGTCATTACCATTAAATCCACTAAAATTATTTTTTGAATTTATCTTTAAATGTAGGTGTGCTAATGAGAAAAAGGAGTTAGTAGATTTCAATATAAAAATATTTTCAATTTTTTCTACTGTTTTTACTCTTCTGTTTGCACACTGTCATGTAAAAATTAGATCTGGTATTTATCATTACCTCTACAAAAGAAGCTAATTTGCTCATTTGTAGTCCTCAGAAACACGACATGCTACAAGTGTTTGTGTGATGAGTTCTCAATGCAATATTGGAGCAAATCACTGATAACAGTTATTTGACAGGTGCAAAGTATTTTAAAGCCTGATTTCAGCACACCTAATTCTTCTTAAGTAGAGGTCTGCATGGTTACTACTACTGGTAGTGACTGTAATAGTTTTGTAATAGTTTAAAAATTTAATCTCTTTAGCTAAACTAATTCTGTATGACTCATTTAATAGTTTCATTAGGGTTACTGGTTTTATTGTTAAACTTCACTATCAACCTACTCTCTCTATATGTGCTGGTTTTTGCTGGGATAGAGTTAATTTTCTTCAGAGTAGCTGGTATGGCGCTGTGTTTGGATTTGTGCTGGAAACAGTGTTGATATCAGCGATATTTTACACACTGCTGAGCAGCCTTTACATGAGATCAAGGCCTTTTCTGCTTCTCACCCCGTCTCGCCAATGAGGAGTCTGGGGGTGCACAAGAAGTTGTGAGGGAACACAGCCAGGACAGCTGACCCCAGCTGACCACAGAGATATTCCAGACCATATAATGTCATGCTCAGCCTATAAAGCTGGGGGAAGTAGAAGGAAGATGATCAGAATTATGATGTTTGTCTTACCGAGTCACTGTTATGCGTGATAGAGCCCTGCTTTCCTAGGGAGGCTGAACATGGGAAGTGGTGAGCGAATTCCTTGTTTTGCTTTGTTTCTCTATGCAGCTTTTGCTTTACCCATTGAACTGTCTTTATCTCAACTCATGAGTTTTCTCACTTTTTTGATTCTCTCCCTCATCCCACTGGTGGGAAGTGACCAAGCAGTTGTGTGGGGCTTAGTTGTCAGCCAGAGTTTAATCATGACAATATAAAATAATTGGACTGTAATAAATTATAAATCCTCCTAGTACTCACAGCAATAATAGGCATCTATAGGAAATTATTGTGTATAAAATTTCTTCACTGCATCTCTCTTTAACTATCTATGGTTATATATGTAACACACTTCTATATATTCTAATTATCAGAAATGTTTCAAATACTTACAGAGTTTTTTATTCCTTAATATATCAAACATGCTAATGTAAATTTTGTACTTTATATGACCCGTAAAACTATAAACTGGTTTTTTTTTAATTTCAATTCAGTACAGTTATAGCAGAACTGAAGTTCTTTTCCACAGCAGACACTGTGAGCTAAAACTTGCCACCTCAGTTCACTTTTTCAGCTGGAAAATACATGACAAACACAATCATATCCCAGTAGTTCCCCATGGCAGTTCAGACTTTAAACATAATTCAAATGATATCTCACTAGAGAAAAAAAAAAAAAACCACAAAAAACAAACCCCAAACTTACAATGATAAAGAGAAAAAGATACTGTAGTCTACCACTTTTAGAAATCAGAAATGTTACTTTGTACTCCAGAAGGTAGAACTTGCCTCTGGGAAAGTCATTGCAGCACTTTTTAGATAAAAATCAACGTTAGAAAAAAAATATCAAATTTTAGAATAGTCAGGGACTGTGAGCATGATAATGAACTTTAGCACCCAATTAGGTAGGGAATATCTAAGCTCTTCAAAGCTCCATTTATGTATAAACTAGATCAAAGTTCTCTGTCAACTGTCTTTGAAGAAAAACATTTACAATTCCTCTTTTCCTTCTTGCCCTGCCATCTGATTTTCCCCTCCTA